CCCCTCGTGTTGGAAGTCAGCTAAAGTCATACCCATCCGGAAACCTGGGAAGAATCCGTCCTCTCCTTCAAGTTATCGACCAATCAGCCTTCTCTCAGGGTTATAAAACTGTTCGAAAGAGCACTGTACCACCGGCTCCTAACATCTGCCGATGAAAACAACTTGTTACTCGAGGAACAGTTTGGTTTTCGGAAAGGTCGTTCGACCGTCCACCAGCTGACTCGAGTCACAAACATTCTCAGACGGAACAAGTCTGTTTCGAAAACATCTGCCATGGCGTTGTTGGACGTTGAAAAAGCGTTCGGCAATGTCTGGCATGATGGCCTGGTGTTCAAATTGCAGCAGTACGGTCTTCCAATCTTTCTAGTGAAGATAATAAACAACTATCTATCAGACAGGACGTTCCGAGTCTCTCTGAATGGCATCACATCGGATGCATTCAACATCGGTGCTGGGGTTCCACAAGGAAGCATCCTTGGCCCCATCCTACTCAACCTGTTCACCTCCGATATGCCGGCTCTCCCTGATGGTGGATCGTTGTCTCTGTTCGCAGATGACACATCCATCGTCTACAAGGGTAGGTTCATCGGAGCTCTGACTGCCAAACTTCAGAGAGGCCTGGACGTCCTGTCTGAATATTTCAACAGCTGGAAGATCCGTATCAACGCGGCAAAGACCCAGGTCATTATCTTTCCACACTCTAAATCTCCTAGACTTGTTCCGTCGGAGAATAACAAGATCTGCCTGAACGGCACAGTAGTGGAATGGTCCAAAGAGGTCGTGCTTGATAAGCTTGCTGTCTACAAACAAATCATCCTTCCTGTAATCGAGTACGGTATGCCAATCTGGGAGAGTTGCGCAAAATGCCATCACCTTAAACTCCAAAGAAATCCACCTCCTGGCTGTAATTCAGACATTAGAAGAACGGAGAGTATTCATCCTGGAAAGGTTCAGAGACACCTGTCTGAGATCAAATCATCAGATCATACGTGATCTAGCACGATAGGTTAAGTTATACTCGTAGTTAGGTAGGTTATCACTTTTATCAATTCAAATAAAACACATCCCCAAAGGGGTATTCTGTAAACTAGTTGAAAAACGAAAATATTAAATTAGAATATCAAATTAAACAAAGATGAAGAGCCACGTAGGCTAATCAATTAAAATGATAAATCAATGTACTACCATAATCAACAGAAATAAAAATAATGTTACTACTACTACATCATTCTGCTTTACCTGAAAAGATATAAAAGAGCGCTGCTGTATGGCATTAGCTCATTTTCGCTTCGGACGGCGTGGTGAACAGCAATAGCAGCAGCAGGAAGGTGGTGGCTAGTCCACTCCTTCACACCTAACAAGCAACAATTGACTGGTCGTGGCAAAGGAGGAAAAGGTCTGGTAAAGGAGGCGCCAAGCGTCATTGCAAAGTTCTTCGAGATGACCGCCATCGGTCGTCTGGCTCGCCGTGGTGGTGTCAAACGTATCTCCGGTCTGATCTACGAGGTGTGCTGAAGGTGTTCCTGGAAAATGAGGTCCGTAATGCTGTCACCTACACTAAACACGCCAAGCGCAATCCACGGAGCGGTGAACACAACAGCACAAGAAGTGATAGGTACAGCTCAAAGACGACCACGTAATGGCTGGTTTGATGAGGAGTGCCAGAGGTTGACGGATGAGAAGAACGTTGCCAGAAGCCGGATGTTAGTGTCTGGTACCCGGCTGAACAGAGAGCGGTACAAGGTAGCAAGGGCAGCTGAGAAACGAACCCACCGCAGAAAGAAAAGGCAATACGAAGAACGCGTGATTGCTGAGGCGCAAGAAAGTATGGAACAGAACGATATGCGAAGGTTCTACGCGACTGTCAATGGTGTGCGGAGTAAAACAGCGCCATCTCCCGCCATGTGCAATGACCTTGAGGGGAATTTGCTGACAGATAAAACAATGGTGGCTGCCAGGTGGAAAGAACATTTTGAGACATTGTTGAATGGAGAGAGTGAGGGAGTATCGAGGAACAGAGTAAACATCGCAGACGACGATCAAGCTGTGGAGCCTCCAACGCTAGACGAGGTTAAAAAGGCAATACGTGAGCTGAAAAACAATAAGGCTGCTGGGAAGGACGAGCTCCCGGCCGAACTTTTCAAACACGGACGTGAGCAGCTGCATCAAGCAATCCACCGTATTCTAACGAAGAACTGCCTGCTAGCTGGTTGGATGGCCTCATTTGCCCATTATTCAAAAAAGGGCACAGACTCGAGTGCGCCAATTATCGAGGAATAACTCTTCTGAATTCGGCGTACAAAATACTGTCACGCGTTCTGTTTAACAGATTGAGACCGCTTGAGGAGTCCTTCGTCGGTGAATACCAGGCTGGTTTTCGTGAGGGCCGATCAACGACGGATCAAATGTTTACCCTGCGTCAAATCCTTGATAAATTCCGGGAGTACAACTTGCAGACTCACCATCTGTTTATTGATTTCAAAGCAGCATACGATTCAGTGAAGAGAAATGAGCTTTGGCAGATTATGCTAGAACATGGTTTTCCGGCGAAACTAATTAGACTGATTCGCGCAACGCTAGATGGATCGAAATCAAGTGTAAGGGTTGCAGATGAGATTTCGACCTCGTTCGTGACCTTAGATGGATTGAAGCAGGGTGATGCACTTTCAAACTTACTGTTCAACATTGCTCTTGAAGGAGCGATTAGGAGAGCTGGTGTGCAGAGGAACGGTACCATCATCACACGATCGTACATGCTCCTTGCCTTTGCGGACGACATCGATATCATCGGAATTGACCGTAGAGCAGTGGAAGAGGCGTTTGTGCCTTTTAAGAGGGAGACGGCGAGGATTGGGCTCACGATAAGTTCTACCAAAACAAAGTACATGGTAGCCGGTAGACAGCGTGGGAGCAATAGTGGTGTTGGTAGTGTAGTGTTGTTAGATGGTGAACAATTTGAGGTAGTGGAAGAATTTGTGTATCTTGGAACACTAGTGACATGCGATAATGATGTTACCCGCGAGGTGAAGAGACGTATTGCAGCTGCAAACAGGGCCTTTTACGGATTACGTAGCCAGCTGAAGTCCCGTAGCCTGCAAACGAAAACGAAATTCGCTCTGTATAAGACGCTGATACTTCCGGTAGCCCTCTACGGCCACGAATCGTGGACGTTAAAAGAGTCTGACCGGAGAGCATTTGGTGTCTTCGAGCGTAAGGTGCTGCGAACAATACTCGGCGGTAAACAGGAGAATGGCATCTGGCGGCGTCGCATGAATCACGAGTTGTACCAAGTGTATAACGGTACGGATATAGTGAAGCTTATAAAACACGGCAGACTACGGTGGGCTGGGCATACAGTGCGGATGCCGGAAGAACGACAAGCAAATATTATATTCAGCAGAGAACCCGGTAGAGGTCGTCGACTCCGGGGTAGACCTCGGATACGTTGGCTATTTGCAGTTGAGGAGGACATCAGGTCGCTAAACGTTCATGGCGACTGGAAGCGATTGGCTCAGGACCGAGTCCAATGGAGAAGAGTACTTCGTTCGGCGTTGAATCAACCTGGCAATTCGTAGCCCATCAAGTATCAAGTAAGTAATGCTGTCACCTACACTAAACACGCCAAGCGCAAGTGGCCATGGATGTCCTCTACAATAAAACGGCCCTTTTCAGGGCCATCAAGCTTATAACAGTAAAGAGTTGGAATAGAATTTATCTGTGCTTGTTTGTCCATATTCAGAACCACAAGTCCCCAACGACCACACAAAATGCTCTCCAGAGTTGTAATCTTGTAACCAAACTTGGAAGCAGGGGTGCAAGTGATTTTGACTGATTCTCTTAATCAACTTTCTCTTTGAAAAAAATTACTACAAATTTGGTACGCCTACAATTCAAAAACGGAAAGAGTCGAGATAATAGATAATTGATCAATTTAAAGAACTAAATGCTCTTCACATTTATTCCGTCCACTAGCGGTCCTACGTCAAGCTTCCGTTCGTGCCCCTAGGCACAGACCCTTCTACTTTTTATTGATTCCTTGGTACTTGGTGTTTGGTAATAAAGATACAATTCAAGACTAACAATTGAAATGGCCTTAACTCCATTTTGTAAACAAACCTTGTAAGGCCATTTTCTCGCGAACCGAAGTCCGCAAAGGCTAACCAGCATAATTAACAGGTAGGGGAAATTATCCTCTACCCGATTGTGGTTTAGGTTTGCGAATGAAGGTTTCGGTTTGCGAGAAAATGGTTGTAAGGCTTGTTTGTTTACAAAATGGAGTTAAAGCCATTTCAATTATTGGTCTTGAATTTGCGGTAAGAATTCTTACTACCAAAGATCAGGCAGCTTGACATTGGTAAAAAGGAATACCGGCTAAAACTCCAACCGCAAACAACGTACCGTAAACGTCGTTTCCGTGGAAAAATCTGGAGGAAACATGTATCAAATTACTGAATTCTCGATTAAGGGTATGCATTTTGATCTCGTGAAATTCTGTTGAATTCTTTTTTCTTCGTTCAGAAACAAAAAAATTACAACGATGTTTTGGAATTCGAGTTCCATTTAATTTCGCCTAAACAACAGACCCCTATTTGTGATGTCACGTACGGGGAACGTCAGCGGTTTTCAAGTGCTAGCAAAAATATAATATTGAAAGTTCGAATTACTTTGTTAATCACGATGGCATGACAAAATAAATAATGCTTTAATCATGCCGGAGAACATAAAATTAATACCGCAAATCAAATATAATCACAAACCGCTTCTTAACATTTTATCCCCCTCCATCGTACAAATAGCTACAAACGAATGAAAAGTTGCCCCTTAAGACGCGATGAATCGTAAACAAGACATCAATTTCCCTTCAATTACAGCCCTCCCTCGTCTTGCCTTCGATCGGAATCATCCATTGAGTTGAGCCTAACAACGCTCGTTGACTCACTTCCAATTGAAGACAATCTAATTAGGTTCACTTTTTTCTCACTTGTCTTCCCACCTCGCAGCGGACCAGTACATGGAGGTCTACATCCGTCCGAACGGAAGCACCAAGACGCGCTGCCCTTCGATCAAGTGCCATCGAACAACCACGGCAGCAACCACGGCGACTGCGACGACGACGACGACGACGACGGCAGCAACAGCAGCATCTTCCGCAGAAACAATGGCAACGACCACGGCAGTGATGAACGTGACGGCGGAGACTGTTCCAGGAAACGATGTCAACGCCGTCGTCGTCAGCTGGAATCCTCACTCTGATTCGTCCTCCAGCCCACCCTTCCGGAGCTATTCGTCCGCCTTTGGAGGAAAGGAATCGCTCCGACTGAAGAATCCCGCCCTAAGGAAGTGAGTGCTCAGCTTCTATATTTAAACTGGGGGTGAAAGAGGTGTTTTGTTATTGTTTTCCCCAGCAGGTAAAGAGTTGCAGATGTCGGGGTGGCAGAAAGCTTAATTAGTAATTCCCGTGCACCCTCCTTTTGCCACACGAAGCCGTCGCGGAGACTTTCTTTTCACTTCATTTCGCAGTTAAGAGTGTCAACGGTAATGAGCTATGCTCGACTAGACTGGCTCAAAAAAAAAAAATGAAAGTTCTAATTTTCTACATGCCAACCCCTAGAGTTGTGCCTTTTGGTGAGAAATCTTTATCCGAAAGTTTCAGCTCATTTGGTTCTAAGATGAGATTGAATTGAAAATAAATGATTAAAATTTCCCCCCATATAAATGTGGGCCAGTCTAATGCTCGACTAACAACCTGCAAGTGCCATTGACGTCTAATCCAAGCAGGCACGCGGCGACGGTAGTTCATTAATAGGCAATATCATCCTCTGAAGGTTGCTGAAGGGGAAGTTCGTGGCAACCGAGTGGTAGAAAGTAAAGAGCTTAAAATAAAGAAAATACTGCGCATTTGTGGGAAATTTACATAAATCTTTGAGTGCTTCGAAAGTCGGGCGCTCAGTGCAACACCGAAGCAACAGCAACAGAGCAAAACCCAGTGCTGGAAATACAAGTTAAACTATGCATAAATTGTACTGTCTACTTTGTCTAGACTTTCTTTTATTTAGCAATATAAAACCCAAGCGCTTGACAGCTAGAATTCCAATTAAAGGTTTCTTCTTAGATCACTTTTTTAGGGAAAACAGGATTTACCGACATCTAAAGCAAGGTGACATATCTAATGGTGACAAAGCCGATGGCTGCTGATTGATATGTCAACAACATTAGAGTAAGGTCAGTCCGTGTGGATCTATTTGATTTTTGCTGCAGAAAGTGTTACTGCTACCTAAAGCTATAACAAATTTAAACAGCACTTCTCAGTGCTCAATATTACCTGCAAATTGTCTATATTGTTTGACTCTAATTCCTCTTCGATACTCGTTTGGACCCTACCCGAGGTAATGCTGCTTGGATATAGATTTGGAAAATCCAACTTCGATCTTTCGGATTATTATAGTAATTGGCTTGGAAGTCGATTTGGAGAAACGTTCTACTGCCGCCATGGTGCCTAAGCGCAAATAAAAGGGCAATCTCTTGATCCCCCTGCTGATGAAATAAATTTGAGCCATCAACTTGATTTGCTCACGGATGATGAGAATAATCCATCATCCAGATAAAATTCTAGTAAACTTTCCCGGCTTAATGCCTATAGCCTATTGTGATAACCACTTCTGATTTCCATGCTCTTCGCATGGAACTTTTGAACTTCGATAAATTCAGGTTTTCACTTCAAATTGGCCGTCGGGGTGAATGCCGTGTATTGGTTGAAACCTTGGACGGATTCAAACGTCTTCTCAAGTATCTTACTGATAAGCAACACACATTTTTCATTTACGATACCAAAACTGAACGTCTGTTCTAGGTTGTCTTGAAAGTCTGCACAGTGGTTTAAAAGTGAAAATTGGTGAACTTAATTGTATCCTGATGTTTGTGTACATTTTAGCCATTTGACGTGTTCAAATGATTTTCAAAATGGTCTGTTCCGCATTTTTTCGAATATTCACCTTAAATTTTTCTTAAGGTGCAACTGGTGGGCGTTGGCCAAATTTGGATTTTTCAGATACACGCCTTCATTCGGAAGGGAAGTAAAGCCGTTGGTCCCCGGTTCATGAGTTGATAGGTAGGGTTCAGGTGTGGGTAGCAATGGTGCTCAGCACAGAAAACAAATCCAAGGAAAAAAACGGAGAACATTTTGTATTCTGAATTGGCAGCAAAATGTTCCGCAATTGCATCCTCCCTATTCGTACACGCCCGAAGATCAGAGGCGAATGTCACTTCGACTTGTTTCATCTAGGAACCATTATCTGATGACTGTGTTGGGGAAGCAGCACATGCATGTACGTAATTGGTGGATTTGTTAGTTATTTTGAAGCTTTTGGACAATGCTTGAAATTTACCACTTTTTCAATAGTTTTAATTTAAAAAATCAACAGTCAAAAGCATTGCTATCGATGCGTAGAAATGTTTCTGATCGATTGGTGATAAAATGTTTGAAATTGGTCCAGCGGCAGCTAAGTTATTAACGTTCAAAATCTTTCATAATTTCATTTGTCGGTTTTCATAAAGTGCACCCCCATCTTCCCGAAAGACGTAGTCCTACGTCAAAAATATTTGGGGTCGTGACATAAACATTAGACTGATGCAAAATTTGAAATTTTCACTCCACAGAGCTTAAACCGTTCCAAATTGGGTCCTGATTAGCCTCCCAAAATTTGAACTACTTTAGTAAGAAACTGACTTGGACAAACTATTTCAAGTTTATATGGGAATTACTATGGGAAAACTTATGTTTTTGTTCATATGCATCTAACAATTCACCACATCAGTATGCTTTTAAATGATAGCAGTGATTGTAGCAAATTTTCTCAGCTACAACTTTGTTGAAAACCACTTGTAAGGAACAAAAGTTATTAATGTTACAAGTCACTGATGTCTTATGATTATACTCATTGAACTGTTCAGCAGGCAACATTGGTGTTTCTGGTGCGAAGAATAGATCACAAATATCATGGCTACTATGTCACACTGCAGAATGCAGTGTTGCCCACAGAACAGCTGCTTGATCATGCCATAAGATCATCAATCTCTTAAACAATTCATAACTATTTAATTTAACATTTGGCTGAAAAACGATGTTGCGCTAAGTTGTAGCTGTGAAAATTTCCTGTAAGAATATTTATAGAAATTTTCGAAAAAGCAATACGAAAAATGGGTAGAAGATAATGAACAAAAAGTTTGGTTTTCCCATAGTAATTTCCATATAAACATCGAATAGTTTGTGCCAAGTCAGTTTCTTACCAAATGAGTTTAAATTTTGGGAGGCTAATCAGGACCTGATTTGAAACCGTTTGAGCACTGTGGAGCGAAAATTTCAAATTTTGCATCAGTCTAATAAACATGAACCTGGATGGCCATGGGACCGTCCTCCGGAAGATCCGGAACATCCGTAAGAGTGGACAATCCATGAAACTGATCCTAGAGCTCCGCATTTTTTTTGCATTAGGATCTGTGATATAAGAATGAACTAGGAACTGTAATGATAGAATGAATTTGGGATTGTGACATAAACATGAACCTAGATGTCCTCCGGAAGATCCGGAATATCCGTAAAAGTGGTCAATCCATGAAACTGATCCTAGAGCTCCACAGTTTTTTCGAAAACACTTTCAACTGTCATATATAAATTAATGTGCGGTCGTGACATAAACATGTACCAAGAAGGCCATGGGATCGTCCTCCGCAAGATCTAGAACATCTTTAAAAATGGTTTTTTCTAAAGCATATGGAACTGTGATATAAGAAGGAATTTGGGGTCATGAAATAAACATGGACCCAAATGGCCATGGGGCCATCCTCTAGTAAGTCCAGAACATCCATAAAAGAGGTCAATCAATGAAACTGATCCTAGAGCTCCGCAGTTTTTTTTTTCCAAAAACATTAGGAACTGTGATATAAGACAGAATTTGTGGTCGTGACAAAACATGGACCTGGATGGCCATAAGACTGTCCTCCGGAAGATACGGAAAATCCGTAAAAGTGATCCAGTAGTTTCTTATATCACAGTGTTTAAAAAAGAACTGCAGAGCTCTAGAATCAGTTTCACAGTATGACAAATTTACGGATGTTCCGGATCTTTTGGAGAACAGTTCCATGGCCATCCAGGTTCATGTTGATGTCTCGACCCTAAATTTTTTCATATATCACAGTTTGTAGTGTTTTCGACAAAACTACGGAGCTCTAGAAACAGTATCATGGATGGACCACTTTTACGCATCTTCCGGAGAACTGTCCGATGGTCATTCAGGTCAATGTTTATGTTAAGACACCAAATTCATTGTTATATCACAGTTCCATGGTTTTTTCGTTCCTGGATCAATTTGATGGCTTACTTGCTTGTAATCGGGCTAAGGCCTTGTTGTCCTCTGTTGTCTGAAGAAGTCGTCTCCGCTCTACTCAAGTCTGCGAAGGGTCCGCAGGTCGCCTTCTACTTGGTCGATCCACCTTGCCCGCTGCGTGCCTGTTCTTGTTTTTGTTGGGTCGCTTTCGAGAACCATTTTCACTGGGTCTCGTGCGACATTCTTACAACATGCTCAGCCCACTGGAGTCGCCCAATTTGCAATGTGGACAATGGATGGTTCTCCCAACAGCTGGTGCAATTCGTGGTTCATTCGCCTCCTCCACGTTCCGTCATCTATCTGCACTCCACCGTAGATGGTACGCAACACCTTCCGTTCAAAAACACCAAGGGCACGTTTGTCCTCCACGAGCATAGTCACAGTCTCGTGGCCGTAGAGGACCACCGGTCTAATCAGCGTATTTTAGATAGTCAACTTCGTGGCGAATTTTATTCGACCGGAGCGTCCTCCGGAGTCCAAAGTAGGCACGATTCCCTGTCGTAATGCGTCTTTGAATTTTTCTGCTGGTATCATTTTCGGCGGTCAACAGTGCGCCCAAATACACGAACTCATCGACCACCTCGAACCTCTTTCTTTCATGTATTTTGTCTTCGATGCGTTGATGGCAAGTCCAATCCGCCTAGCTTCAGTCTGATGTACGTTTCCGCCATCGTCTCAAAGTTCCGTGCCATAATGTCAATGTCATCGGCGAAGCCAAGAAGCTGGATGGACTTCCTAAACATCGTGCCACTCGTGTCAATCCCTGCTTTTCTGATCATACCTACTAACGCGATGTTGAATAGCAGACACGAAAGTCCATCACCTTACCGTAACCCCCTTCGAAATTCAAAGGGACTCGATAGTGTTCCCGATACTCGAACAACGCGCTTTGAAATTGATGAACAAATGATGTGTGGGCACGTTGTATTCGTGGCATTTTTGCAGAACCTGCCGAATCGCGAAAATTTGGTCCGCGGAAGCGCGGGCACCCATGAATCCCGGCTGGTATTGCCCCACGAACTCTCTTGCAAATGGTGACAGACGGCGGCATAGAATTTGGGAGAGTACCTTGTGGGCGGCGCTCAGCAGTGTGATCGCGCGGTAGTTGTAGCAATCCAACTTGTCGCCCTTTTTGAAGATTGGGCATACGACACCTTCCATCCACTCCTCCGGTAATATCTCCTCCTCCCAAATCTTGGCAATTACCCAGAGCAGCGCTCTAGCCAGTGCTTCACCACCGTATTTTAATAACTCACTACGCTCAGCTAAGTTTTTTACCTTTCTGTTCCTATGCATCTAATTCAAGACGATTATTTCAAAACTTACTAAATACGTGTCAATCAAGTATTGCACTACTACTTGATTGAAAATGTCAGTACAGTGCGATAAAAAAAAGTTTGAGGAAATGTTTCACCAGTGCTCTTCCCTATACATTTCTAAATTTGATTCACAATATGATCTGATCCGTCGTACTGCTTATTGACTGCGCCTAATGGATCTTCTCAAGCTACCAATCATCACACTTCTAAGTTCTAACTACGAGCTAATTTCAACCCGGAAATGGGGACACTGCCTGAAGTAGGTGTTGTGTTGATATGCATACGAGACAGGCATCATTCTGAGAAATCAGAATGCACATCTGACGAGACGTCATGGCGCGTCAGCTCCACTGGTAACTGATTGAAATTGCAATTAATTTTCTCAGTGGTGGCACCACCACGTGCTACTTTATTTTCGATGAATTCAAAGCATTTTTTTTTGCGACGCATCATTTCGGATTGCAAAAAGCTATACCTTTTACTATTTTAAACAAAATGACGCGAACTTTTTATAATCCAAAATGAAGCGTTGGAAAAAAAAACTGCTTTGAATTTATCGAAAATGCATCAAAGTAACTTGAACCTTACTTTATCCCACATTCAACCAACCAATGCAACTAACTTTCCCTTTTTCGTTTCACTATTTACATGCTGCCCAGATCCAACATGGAAAAGAGCCTGACGAACAAAAAACGCATCATCAAAATGCTGTTCGTAGTGGTGTTGGAGTTTTTCATCTGCTGGACCCCGTTGTACGTAATCAACACGATGGCCCTGTTCTGGCCGAGCACCGTTTACCACAATCTGGGCTACACGGCCATCAGCTTCTTCCAGCTGCTGGCCTACTCGTCGTCCTGCTGCAATCCCATAACGTACTGCTTCATGAGTAGCGGTTTCCGGAAGGCTTTCCTCAATCTGTTCCGCTGTTTCCGGCCCGGTTCCGGCGGCGGAAGGAACCGTCGAAATAGCAGCGCCATGGGCGGTCTCTACGTGGCCAGTGGGTGCAGCACCGCCAGTGGAGTTGGGACGATTGCCCTCCTCGGAAGGTACAGCAGCCGTCGGAAACAGACCCAACACTCGACCCGGGACGGGGACACCATCGATACCATCCTCGACACGGACGGTGTGGTAAGCCTGAAGCATCGGAACGATAATGTGTCGGCCGGGGGCAATCATTCACAACTCAATGTTCATCACCGCTACCTTCATCATCATCATCATCATCATCGTGACCATCAGGTGCAGGAATAGCCTACTGCACCTGCTGTTGCTGCTGCTGCTGTCCCTATGGGTGATAAATAAGTGAAAAGCAAAAGCTGGGACCTGAGAAAGGCATTCGTTCCGTGGAGGTTTGGGCGATAAATCGATTTTATATATTTTGCAGTGTTTGGCTAGCGTTATTCGATATCGATTTTGGCAGGGATACTCAAGTGGTGTGTTTTATCGTTCCATAAAGAAAACAAAAACTTGGATCATTAATCTTCTAAGGATTTCCGTATGCTGCAAATGAGCCTAGAAGGCCGTGCTGCCATTATTTTGCTGCAGTAATCTGCCAATAAAAGCATAACTGTCCCATATTTGCTTGATAGCTCGATCCAACCCAATCCAACGTCGCTATTTGGAGAAACGAAGCACAGCAAAGGGAAACGTTCTTGCGTTCAATTTTAGTTTTCAAAGTGAGGAGTGTTCGACCGAGAATATATTGCAGTCTGGAGTATTCAAAACGATAAGTTTTGAATTACACTCGACGTTTCCACTTTTTTTTATTAAATATAAATATTAAATATATTATATTAACAATATAGTCCACTCTTTCGCTTAGCTGTCGAACCGAATTTTGAGCGATGAAAGTGACCAAAAAGGCTGCCAATGTTTTTGATTATATCCATGAGGGGTTAGCCACATGAATTTTTTACAATAATAGACAAATTTTCATGTTATATATAGAATGTAATTAATGAAAATAATTTGACCATTATTTTTGTAACGCACCCTTCGATTGATTGGATGATTGTTGCTGGCCCTTTTCAACGCTAGATGGTGCGTGAAAAGCAATATTTTTCGGGACACCATTGCAATGTATGGAAAAGGTATGAATGGAGCATATTGTTATTATGATATATTTGATTCGAGTTTAACTAATTTTGTACTTCAACTAATCATATTTTCGATCGTTAACGATTACATAATTGGAGGTCCTTAACGTCAATATCAGACTAAGAGTGAACACTTTATACGATAGATCAGGAGATGAAGGTATGGAGTTGATACTTCCGTAATACCAACAATCAATACGAAACTAACGATTTTTAATTGGCTCACCACTTTAGTAGCCTATTGGTCCCAAGCAAACGATTAACGTACCCTATTCTAGTTGAAATTCTATTACTACACTATGTTTGTTTTGATTCGCTATGAAAGTTTGACAGATAACATCAGGGGTGTGTGGATTCATGCAGAACATGCAGGGGTGAGTGAAATAGCTTGGGACTGCTTGGGACCGTTGTTCTGGTACTGAGTGAGCCAAAAATAATAATGATTTTCTTCGGGACCTACTAGTCTTAGAGTTACCTCTATGGTAATACCGTGGACCCCCAGTAATCGGTCCGTTTTTAATCTGAACACTGTTTAGTTTGAATCCGGCTAATGTGCACACCGCGCAAACTAAAAATTGCTCAAATGTCATTTAGCAGCCCATTGGATTGAGTAAAGTAAACGGAACACAGAATCAAAACAAAACAGCAAATAAGATTACCAGAAACTCGCTTTTCTGCTGGTCGTAGCGCTACTAGAAGTTCTAATTAAAAATTTGCCCCGTTAATATGCACGAAGGGTCGTTCATATTGACGAGGGTCCTAGGTATTTCGTTTCACAGGAAAACCATCTACTAGATGCTTACGTCAAATGGCGACTTGAGTATGTAACAATCGATAGAGCCGTTTCCGCTCATCAGAGGTACATGAGCTAATTGGCGAGCATTCCTTTTGCCTGGTGTGGTGAGGGGAAATACTCCTCACCGCTTCTCAACAGCGGGTGAGTTTGATAAAAGGAATGCTCGATTCGCTTCGCACCTTCCTCAAAATTGTCTTTTGCTCGCTTTTTACTTTCTTTATACAATTTTCACACTGCCGTACTATATCGGAACTATCAATTCTATACTTTCATCTCCTCATCTATCGTACAAAATGATCACTGTAATGCCGCGGATATACTATGAGCATGAGCATTATTTGTATACAAGTCTGACCATTAGACTGATGCAAAATTTGACTTTTTTGCTCCACAGTGCTTAAATGGTTTCAAATCGGGTCCTGATTAGCCTCCCAAAGTTAGAACTCATTTGGTTAGAAACAGACTTCGCACAAGCCATTTGAAGTTTACATGTAAATTACTATGGGAAATCTCAACTTTTTGTTCATTGCCTTCTAGTCTTTTTCCATATTGAGCTGCGAAACAGTTCGATAGCCATTCTTATAGAAAATTTTCTCAGCTTCAACTTTGCTGAAGATCGTTTCTATATAAAACGAGACAGGAAAAAGGTATTAATTATTTAAGAGATTGGTAAACTTATGACATGCTCAAGCAGCTGCTCTGTAGGCAACACTGTATTTTGCGGTGTGACATAGTAGCCATGATTTGTGTGTCCTATTCAACGCCCCAGAAACACCAATGTTGCCTGCTGAGCAGTTGATTGAGCATGATCATAAGACATCAGCGCATTGAACCATTGATAACTTTCGATCCTTGCATTTAATCAAAAAGCGGTCTTGAGCAAAGTTGTAGCTAGGAGAATTTCCTACTAGTACAGTTGAAAGCTTTTGAAGCAGACCGATATGGTGAATTATTAGATAGACATGAACAAAAATCTTGGGTTTACCATAGTAATTCCCATACAAACTTCAAATGGTTTGTGCCATCTCAGTTTCTCACCAAATGGGTTCTAATTTTGAGAGGTTAGTCAGGATCCGATTTGGAATCGCTTAAACATTGTGGAGCGAAAATTTCAAATTTTGCATCACTCTACTGACCATGGATGTGCTCATAATTTATGATACAAATAATGGTCATGTTCGTAGTTTGTCTTACAAGTTTATCCGTGGCATAAGACTAATATTAACGTTAAGCATCTCCAGCTAACTGATTTTGTTTTAAGTTATACTGATTGGCATAAGCACTGTATAAGTTAAGCACGCCTCTTTTATTCTAACCGGATTAACATCCGACATTCTTACCCATATGAAAGAATGTGCGTCCTTCTAAGAAGGGTACATATTCAGCCATTCCATAACAAAATATGTAGTGGTTCTCAGAATTTCGTAAAAATTTGTAGTTTTATTCCTTATCGTAAAATCTTAGACCCGTATTTTTTATTTTGTCATAAGGGTGACCATTTCCATGTAAGGGGGTCCAATGAATCGATTTTTCGGAAATGAGTTTTTCAAAAATTCATAACTTTGGAACTACTATGCCGAGTTTAATGATCAAAATATTAAATGAAAGGTAAAATATAATGATAGTAAAATTTAGGATTTTGGATTTAAAATCATTGAATGTGTGTTATAATGGTTTTCATGATTTGTAGACAGAGGAGGCAATATTCGTCTATAGTTTTCCTTGAAAATTTAGGTTTTTTTACACAACATATCAAAAAATCAGCGATGTATGTTTTTATCGTTTCTGAGTTATATATTTTGAAGTTATGAAGTTTTGGGTTTTTGCTCAATACTCCTATCCGACTAGACTACCATGCATCTCCATTGAATTATAGTAACTGTGACATGGTCACGACGCATGGTTGTCTAGTCGCATGGAAGGATTTTTAATTACCTTTCATTTGATATTTTGATCTTTGAAATCAGCCCAGGGATTCTAAAGTTATGAATTTTTGAAAAAAAGTCATTTTTGAAAAAATAAATGATTTTAGGACTACCCTTATACCCCGTTCACATTACAGCCTATATCACGTAATAAAGGCTGTCTTGCAATGACCACTCAAACGTAGGATTTCCAGTGAAAACTAGATGTATGAATTATCATTGCAAGACAGCGTGTATCACGTGATATACGCTGTAATGTGAACGGGGTATTAAATGGAAATGGTCACCCTAATGACAAAAAAAAAAATACGGATTTAATATTTTGCGATAAGGAGCAAAACTACTAACTTTAACGAAATTCTGAGAAACACTATATCGTTTTGCTATGGAATATTATAATATTTACATTTGATAGATTGATTGATTACCTTTATTTGAGAGGCTTTAAGCCATAGACTGGTTCATCTTTATGGACAGAAAGTGATTTATATTATATCATTCAATATTACTGCAAAATCTATGTATAATAATCTGAATAAGTCATGTGAAAACTAAATTTTAAAGAACGAGCAGTTTTTTTAAGGGAAAATAATATAAAATTTAAATTTATTTCTCCAGGAGAGAATTTATTTGAAGTCATGACAAATCATTTTCAGAATATTTACGTACGCTAATGACCTTTTGGCCTTTCGACCATTTGTCTTTTGACCTTTTGTCTTTCGACCTTTTGTCTTTTGACCTTTCGTCTTCCGACTTTTTGTCTTCCGAACTTTCGTCATCCAACTTTTTGTCTTACGACCTTTTGTGTTTCAACCTTGTGTCCTTTTGACCTATTATCAATTCGACTTTTTATCCTAAACCTACCAAATAAGAGCGTCCAAACCGCGTGGAAAGAATTGAACGCGTCAAGGTTCTCCACCAGAAGTTGAATCGATTGCTTAGTTTAAATTAAGACATATTTTGATGTTGCTCTTTTGAACTTGTAGCGACTTATACTTGTCCATTTCATCCTTTTGTCAATTCTACTTTTTGTCCATTTCGATGTTTTGTCCATTTCGACCTTTTGTTCACTTCGAACTTTTGTCCATATGACCTTTAGGTCATTTCGACAATCTTTCCATTTCGATCTTTTGTCTATTTGACCATTTATTCATTCGACCATTGTCCCTCTGAGTTAAATTCAACCTTTTGTCCTCTAAGTTCAATTCCACCTTTTGTCAATTCGGCATTTTATCCATTTGACCTTTTGTCCATTCGACCTTTTATCCCTCAACCTACAAAATGAGAGCGTCCAAACCGCTTGGATAGAATTGAACGCGTCTATATTCTCCACCAGAAGTTTAATCGATTGCTTAGTTTCAATTAAGACGTATTTTGATGTTGCTCTTATGAATTTGTATCGACTTTTGGTCCATTTCGATGTTTTATCCATTTCGACCATTTGTTCACTTCGAACTGTTGTCCATTTGACCTTTTGTCGATTCGACCTTTAGCTCATTTCGACA